TATAGCACAGACATCTTTAATTTAATTCAAATACATGTTAATTCAAGCCAATAAATTTGATCTTGAAGAAGAAGCATATATTTATCCTCTGTATGCATAGTGTAATAGTGCAGGTATATCTACGGGTACCGTATCCGTTTAAGTAAATTTTATATTACAAACGTTGACTTTCGATATGTTATTGTATCAAGACTTTTTCCGAAAGCAAACATTACGGAATGGATTTACCCTGGTAATTTTTTTTTGCAGTTGTTGTTTTACACGAGTTCGGACACACCCCACATTAACACACACATTTCACACATTTGTTGCAATGTTTATAGAATCCATTTTGAAATGAAAGCGGATTTCAAAATCAGACAAGATTTATCTCCTCTGACAAAAGAAAGTTAAGAAATTGAGAATAAAATAGGGTGTATATTTAGAGTGATTTGTTCCCGTTGTAATCCAATCGAATTATCCAATGATATATATTGTCCATCGATTCACAATACCAGAAAGCCCCAGTCTAAAAGTCGTTTCCGCGAATATTTCAAAAGAATATTGTATTGGCTGGTGAATTATAGGATACGGTCTCTCTCGAATAAATGCTACGAGACTGTTACGTCGTATAAATAAAAGAAGCCCTTGATTTATGGCGAATTATTTAATAGAGAATATCTGCATTCTTCCATTGATGCCCGTTATCGCTGTATTCAGAGCTGGCTTTCCCTTTCAATGTTAATAATACAGCTTATCCGATTAATATCTTTTTCTTCGTTTAATTTCAATATCCATTCTTTGATAAAGAGTGATCATTAATGATCGGAGGACATAAAGTATCTTTACTAATTTGAAAATCTTTTCATTTCAAATCAATGTGATGTGACAATCAAAGTCAAAAGAGGAAGCCTGAATCAGAAGGGTAATTAATAGATGACACAGAATTTCAAAACTTTAGAACTTCAACCGAGCTGGAGGATTTAACATATGATCAAAGACTTGTATGGTATATATTTTTGATAGGTCGGACTCGCAAAATTCAAAATGGTTTAAAGAAGATAGGGATATGGACACAAAGGTAAGGAAAAGTTGATAAACTCTTTAGCAAAATCGAATATTAAATAGTCTATCTAATTAATACACTTATTTTTTTCATCATTTAAAATTTATTTTACACAATGCTGTGTGTTGGATGAAAACTAAATGTTTACATATTTTCATATAACTTTGCATTGAAGGACATCACAAACCAAAGTAATAAGTTTGTATATGGAAGAGCTTAGCTCTTCTTTTGATATAATTTCGCAGTTTCATTTGCAATGTCCTTCTTATTCGAATCATTTTACTGTGACTTGACAATAAGTGTTGCTCTCCACCTATTGCAGTTTATTTAAAATTCTGACCAAATTTCAATCTATTATATCAAACCAAAATGTTCAACTGGTCAGAAATTTTAACAAGCTGCTGTAGAAAAACACAAGTCAAGTGGTGAAAGTGCAAGGTGGTGAAATAAAGCACACTTGCAATCATATAAGACTTTAAATCCACTTTAATGATGATTTCACCTGCTCAATTGTGAACTTTCCATTTCTATGTAGCAACATTCAAACAGCGCGTGCATACGGAGTATATATCTCCCAGTTGATATACCAGGGCTTGTTTTTCTTTTCCTATCATGATTTACTTTATAGAGGATTGCTGCTCACATGGTGAGTTCCAAGTGGTGAAGTTGAATTCATCCCTTCGTAAATTTTACGGACGCCATCACGAGTTGGTTGACCTTTATGAAATATCTGTTTCACAGATGACGACGGATATGTTCCAATTGTCGTAGCTACTATCCCGTCCCCTTTTCCCCATATGTGACCTACCGAATTAGATTTATCACCGGATTTGTACTTACATGAGCAACACGACGGGTGCCACATGTGTAGTAGAATCTGCTTAACCTGAACGCCTGAGATCACCCCCAATTTTTGGTGGGGTTCGTGTTGCTCAGTTTTTAGTTTTCTATGTTGTGTTTTGTGTACTGTTGTTTGTCTGTTTGTCTTTTTCATTTTTTAGCCATGGCTCTGTCAGTTTATTTTCGACTTATGAGTTTAAAACTGTGTGGCAAATGTAAATCTCTGACAGGAATATTGTTTCAAACTTGGAAATATGTTACTGTGGATTCATCATTATTCGTGGGATACCAATTTTTTCGTGGATTTCGTGGGTATGTGTGAACAAAAACATGTAAATGTTCAACTACAGATCGCATATAAGCTTATATGCAGCCTTTGGCAAAGTAAAACTACGAAATCTAATATCCACGAAAATACAATTTTCTTTAATCCATGAAAATGGTACCCGCGAAAATAAATGAATCCACAGTATAAGCAGATCCTCTACAGATGTTTTCATTTATTTTCATTTTTATGAAACACATGGTAATAGAAGGATTCTTTGATTTTGTCTGTCTTGGTTGCAAACTTCTTTTTGTCTGAAGCTACCAAATGTTTTAAACATTACTGCAATGACAATTAAAATGATTTCTATGATAAATTGTCATGTTGAATGGCAATCAAGTGGCAAGCATTTTGACAATGGTCATACATATTACCATTCAAAACTAAAAGCAGTTTACATTTTAACTGGCATGTATAAATTGTCTGCAAGGTACTCTAAATGAAGCCTGCCCAATGGAAAAAAGCCATCCGAAGCTTTTTTGTCAAAAGTTATCTTATCTTCAGCAAGTAAGGGATGCCAGAAGAACAATTTATGCTCCAAGTATCCTCTGGTGATCGGTGTTATTGTGTTTTAGGGCACAACATGACCTCACTTTAAACTCCTCCTTCATGTGATCTTGTAAAGGTATTGTATATTCCTTCAAAACTTGGGATAAATATGTCCTTGACAGTTTTTTCTCACATTTATGTTCTGTTGTATTGTGGTCAATTTGTCTCAAGATGCTGGTCATGTTTGATAGTGGTTAGGGTCGTCAACCGAAGTTCCTGGTCATGTTTGATAGTGGTTAGGGTCGTCAACCGAAGTTCCTGGTCATGTTTGATAGTGGTTGAGGTAGTAATAAGTAATGAACCAAAGTTATTTTAGCAATTGTTCTTTTGCAGAACGTTTTATAATCACTTTTATCGAACTTTTTATCAAGTTTTCTATTTCAGTAAAGGTGTAGCCATATAGAATTGCCATTGGACTTGACAAAATACTTAATCATAGGGGATAATCATGTACCAGTTTTAAACAGTTTAATAGCAATTGGTCCTATAGATATATATTATTAATCGAATATTTTTAAGGATTTTTGATTCGTTAAAACTTGATCACATGTACATTTGTATTTGCTCAGTTTGCACGCCAATACTGTTGTGTTTAGCTTTTCGTAGGTCAAAAACAGCATATTGCACAGGGCATACAGCATGTTACTAAAAATAGATTCTAGAAATCCCCAATTTTACATTGTTCATGCTATAGTTGTTGATTAATAATATAACAATTGTAGCCTTTGGTTGAGGTCAATACGATGTTATATCGACCCAGAGAAGCATATCGACCTCGGACTTCGTCCTCAGTCAATATGCTTCTCTTAGGTCGACATAACCTCGTATCGACCTCACACAAAGGCTATAATTGTATAATATCGTTGAATTAATTTCCCTCTTTATTCCGTTTATACTTGTATGTAGTAACGATCACGATGGTCAAATCCTTTAGACAATTATTCTAACATCTATACAGTAGGCAGAACTGATAATATTTGAAAAAGAAAAATATATAACAGACTATTATTTTCATTTCCAATTTGAAGGGCTACGATAAGTCAAAGGTCATTAAACTTGGAACTGTTCTGTTATTCTAATATACACTTGTTTATATAGAATTATAAAGATGACCCCGAGGGATTGGAATAAAACCCTATCATTATTTTTATCATATGTCGAAATAGGATAGATAGCATGATAGATAAAATAAAATGACAAATGATAATGCACAAAACATCTGACAGAAACCTTTGTGTATTGCAAGAACCCAACCACAATCCTTGGGTAAACTCAGATGCTCCTAAAGAGTAACCAGTAGCCGCATTAGTCGTTTTACTCCTATAAATTTGGCAATTATCATAGCACAATTGAACCGTGAAGGAAATTGGTGCAGACGGCAGATTTTAGTAGTCTTTAAGGTTTTTTGTTGGAAACCGTATGCTGACCACTACATTTCTATTAGTTTTATTGTGTTGTTAGATTTATGATTTATATCTCATTGATTTAAACATATACGTCTATTTTTTTATGCAACAAGAAGGAATCGTCGGCATTTTTCTTTTAAAATGGTAAACTCTTTATGAGAATTGATTTTTATTTAATATCAGATCGAGGCAAAATTTATTTCATTTATAGAAGGAAAACGTATTTGAATGCTTTTGTGCAATTGGTCCTATTCAGCTACAAGCTATGAAATAAACTCATGTAAATCTATCTTTATTATAAAGACTACAAAATCTAGTTTGGTTGTTTTGTATTTGTTCAAAGCAAAATTTATTCAAAAAGCAATTAATTATAGTTCTGTGACAGAATTGCATTGAATGTCGTTTGATCCAATTGTTTCTTCGGTTTCCAACGTATGCAAATCCACTTTGGAATTCAGTTTTAACTACTTATTCACGTAGTAAATCACAAGCGCTTTGGATTGAAATCAACATAGGCAGAAAATACAATCCGCAGTAATGATTTTCTTCTATTGACAGACTACAATCACAAGCTTTTATTCTTTGCTATAACACTCTTTTATAAATATATTTCATAAATACCTTTTTAGTTTATTCATTAAGTTTCAATACTCTTTGAAAGACCCTTTTCACAGTCACGAAATATACTAAATTGCTCTTTATGAATGAGCTTTATAAAGGTAATTTGAAATAAAGAAATTAAATGTTTGTAACGAACAATATGTTTTGTTTTTTAAGCAATGCGATTTGATAAAAGCCTTTGTGCAATCGTTTCATTATTGTATGTGAAATAAAAGCGACTGCATGGCATAATTTAGACGTTATTTGTTTCTACCATAGTTGTGTTCGTTTATTGTGTTTCCATCTTTTTTCCATTGTTCACACTAACAAATATTCTTTGAGAATATGCAGCCTTCACATGACGTGTTTTTACCATACAAAACTCATTGTACAGGAATCGGGTTACCGATATACACGAAGAGCTGTTTTTGCAGAGTTTCATGTAAAATAGAAATAATTCAAGAAGTTCTACCAAGAGATTAATGATTAAGTCATATGTATCGGCTTCCAATGAAAAATTGATTAATCCATAATGAGGAAATTCAAATTTGGTTGTTGTAGTGTAGGGGAGAAAAGTTTTTAATGCATAAAAAGTTATGCTGCAAGTTTTATTGACAGGGACAGACTACTATTGTCACCAAGAAAGGTAGGATATTTTTTATTTTTAATAAATAACTAGAAAATATGAAAGGATTTGGTATTTATTATCAAGTTCTGTACATGTATTTGTTCACTCACTGCAAAAATAAGAAAAATAAAAAACCAAGCGAATCGAATTTTTATTATACAATGCTATAATTTATATTTGTATATTTTCTGATAAAACTAACATGAGAGGGTTTCTTCAATTCATCTTCCTTTTTTCGTCGTTTTTAACATTTTTAGTCATCGGTGAACAGTATTGGTCCGAAACTCAACCATCGGCGAACAGTATTGGTCCGAAACTCAACGATCCCACCATTGAAGTGGAAAATGGTGAATTTCACTATAGGATAAATAAAATTGAGAATGGAAATGGGGAATGTGTCAAAGAGACAACAACCCGACCATAGAGTAGACAACAGCCGAAGGCCACCAATGTGTCTTCAATGCAGCGAGAAACTCCCGCACCCGGAGGCGTCCTTCAGCTGGCCCCTAAAACATGTTCCTACAGAGGTTGATTAATTAGCATGATGTATAGCGGAAGCCTATGTGACATAGTCGCTACAACGCTTATCTAATTGATAAAAACCTTCATACATTGTGTTACATTATCAATATACTAGTACTATGTTTCTGTTTTTATCCCTAAGTTTTGTAATTAAGCACATCAATATTCAGAAGTCAATTAAGTGTTGTATGATTAAACGCTGTGATAATATCACCATTAACGATAATGTATAGTGGATTATCGAAACGTGTAAAAAAGCGGGATTCCGAGTTAAAAGATAGTAGCGGTTCCCTCGTAACCTCTTTTGAACTTACATGCGGATGATGATAGGTTATATGTGGTTTAAAATACTATTCAATTCTCGACAGTATTTAACACATTTGCAAACACGAACTCTTTATTGGTGGATGATTTACTAAGCCGAATATTGATAAAATGTTTTATATTCGATTTTTGATAAGAGTTCTCTTTTGAAATCAACAAAAGTGAAACCTTTCAACTACTCCGTGTTTCACTGAGATATTACTGTTACATTAAAGTCTACGGGGAAATTTATTATCCATTTGAAAAAGAACTTATTAAATGCATTTAGTCAGAAAATCCACACTCACTGATTCTATTGTAAATCTTGCGAATAAAAACTTTTAAAATTCTCGAGCGAATTGGTGTAAATGGTTAAATGTTATTAAAATGTTCTATCACCGTGTCCAAAAAAACAAAAGCTACCACGCCAAACCCATAGATGCCATAGAATATACAAGAAAGAAAACTTTCAGGTTAACATGTGTAAATTAGCATCAAAATGATCGGGGATTTACTTCATAGATAATTCATTCTTTTTATTTCTGGTAAAAAGACCACACTGAAAGTGAAATGGAATTTAAACAGAGGTAAGTGAATTAAAATCTGCAAACGACTGACATGTTTTTTTTTATGATATTGGTTTTAGCCCGAGTCATGTTTAGGGAACATGATTTGATGATTTAGGGACCGATCTTGTAAAGCACGTATTCAAAGACTTTAATAAGAGTCTGGTTCTGTGTATCTAATATAGAAAATAAGAGGGAGGGCGATGCATAGAGGGTCAGGGGAAAATAATACCTCATCTTTCAACTTAAAAAAAAATTGTGTCGATTTTTTTTAATTTGCTTTCTGAAGTCTTAGGCATTCCTCTTACCATTTTCAGATATACCTTATGATAGCACACAAAACATTTCATAGCGATTTGTCTTCAAGTAGTTCCAGAAAAATAAACACATTTTAATTTTCGTACATTCTGAATGTTATTGTAACAAATAATAAACTTGATTTTTTTTTATATTAGTATTCAGATGTTTGATCTTTGGTGGCCATGTTTTTTGTGGATTCCTTTACACAGGCGCTTGGGACATTTTTTTTAATTTGTTTTGGTTTTATTTTTGTATATTTTCTTTATGTTTTAACTTTTTTTTAACTCATTAAATGTATTCTTGTTCTTATTCGTGAGATACTGCAATCAAAGTTGTTTATATATGCTGTCTCTTTATTCTTATTTTCCACGAAGTTTACAGGGACTGGATATATAAACTGCTGTTATGGTAATGTCTATCCGATATAAGCAGGAATAAATTAAAATATAAAAGAAAATATACCCCCCAAAAATTAAAAAAAAGAAATTTTAAGAAAAGGGGGGTCCATAGCACATTATTGCCATCTGCATCTCGGTTTACTCGTAAGCTGCAGCTGTAAAGCAAGTGTTGCATACCCTTTTCCAATATTTCTGTTTTCTGAACTGTGTGCCAATTTTGAAATATAATGAATAAAGCTTATATACAAACACATATCCGCCAGATATTAACATTGCTACAGATAAATTAAATGGCAACTTTAAATTAATGGAAGAAAACAGTTGCTTGCTAAAAAAAAGATTAAAAAAAAAGAAAGGAGTACAACATTCAGACGGTCGAACCTAGATTTCACTAAATATTTCTGACACTGCAACCCCTTCCTCCAACAGACATCTCTCAATGTCCGCTGCTTAGAAAAAATCAGTTATAAAGAAAGGTGTGGTTTGGCTATTAATGTGCAAGTAGAAGTATATGCAGTCTATTTCTGTTTTTACCACATTCCTTAGACGCAAATAAATATACCTTGCTTTGTTCGGAGATCTTTTGAACAGTTACAACTTTGTAGAATTATGTAAGGAAAATCTAAAATAATTTCTATTCAGAAGTCATTTACACATGTATTTCAAAAGAGTTGATCAATATTTATCTCTTCATTAAAAGTGCATTTTTATTTTCCGGATCTATCAGCAAGATAATTTGAATAGATTCAGACGAAACAATTTAACGGTTGAGATAAAAAAGAAGAAATGTTACCATGATTAACAATATATTATTTACATTTCTATATAATGTGTAATTTATTTCCTTCAAATCACCGTGTGATATGTATATTACTATTGAAATGAAATACGACAGTTGAAATTTTTATCGGTGATTATATCATTGACCGATATGAGAATAATAGGTATGTTAGCATTCAGTGTGTGTGTGTGTGTGTTTGAGAGGGAGAGAGAGAGAGATCAAATATCAGTAGATATTTTTCATGAAAATGTACATTCATATTGGATTTCTCTTTCCTTTCAAAGAGTATAACTGGAGGATTTTTTTTCAAATTGATCAATGTTCGTAGAATTGCCACGTTTAACTCATAAACCAGTAAAATAAGTTCTAAAAACGATCAACACCCAGTGCTTATTTTTCTCTAGATTTGGTTTGATTTACATTTATATAAAATAGTTATATAGGATTAGGCTTGCATCTGTGAAACCTTTCGTCAAAATATTTTTATAATTGTTCGGACAGTCAGTTAATAAGCTATCGTGATCAAACAGCCGATATTGGGATTTCACGATTTCTTATTATTTTAAACAAAGCTTGCACTACTAGTCATTGGACTTCAAGCGACATAAACCAGTCATTTGAAAATATTGTTGCGAAAGATAAAGAGCGATGTTCAAAATCTTCTTATGTTTTTTTTAAATAAATGCTTTATTTTTTTACCTTCTGACAATACTTGATGCAACAACCAAAATTTAAAGAAAAGATACCAGACAGCTGGCCTACAAATGATCTTACATTTTAATGGACCAATCTGAACAATGTTATTCTCTTTTCTCTTAAAATGACTCTGAAGAAATAACAATGCAGTGGATTTAAACAAGACTACTATTTTGCTATTATATGCAGATTTTACAGATTGGAAACCCCAAGGGTTGTCTGGGGTCTATAAATATCATGATGTTCCCTGGAATTGTCTCACACTGAAGTAAGACCCTTGCTAAAGCAAGGCGTCCGTTTGTCTCTGCGGGATGTATAAATATACACAACTTGGTGTAGGGTGAGTGGCACGCTCTTTCTACGTTAACAAATCCTTGCAACAATTTGAGGTGTCCAAACGTGGTTTGTTGCAAGGCAAACATATCCTCATTTTCCAGTGTCAGTCCAAGTTTTCTCAGGAGACCTTCTTTGTAGAACCTACCGATTGAATATTGTATTTAGTGTCATTTTTTCTTGCCCTGAATATCAATGAAATAAAAGTGCAATGGTTTTCAAAGTTATTATTATATAAACTAATATTTTTCCATGATAATGATGATGATGATGGATGGCTGCTTAACGTCCAGCGGCAAATTTTAATATGCATATTCAGGACGATAACATGTGAATATAATATGAATAGTAACCCTACTTTGTACTAGACCGACGAATTCAGCCCGGATTTTTAACGTGCTAGTTCACAAGGTAACAGTCCACAGAATGACATGTCACCTTACCTGGACACATTATTCTGACTCCAAGCCGACCAGTCTTTACTCTTACTCCTTAGTGCTTAGCGGAGAAGCAGCAAATACCAATTTTAAAGTATTTGGTTTGACTCGCCGAGGTTCGAACCCACGACCTCCCGCACTCGAGGCGAACACGCTACCACGAGACCACCGAGGCGGTTTTTCATGATGAAGTGACATTACGAAACCTTAGGAGACTTACTATGCTCTCTGCACGTTTAGGAACCCTCGCAACAACTATATATGCAGGATCCGAGGGTGACCTTCGCAATGCAAATTTCTGTCTCTATCAAACATACCTTAATTTTCCTGGATAAGCCCAAATTTCTCGCCTTTCACTAATGATTCTAATTCTAAAACTTTCTAGACAGTTTTAAAATGAACTGTAGGAACATTGTTGTACAGCACAGTTAGCTGTTGTGACATTTTAAAAGCTGTTGTTGTTCTACATAAAAGAGGCGCGAAAGATTCCAGAGGGACATTCAAACTCATAAGTCGAAAATAAACTGACAACGCCGTGACTAAAAAAGAAAAAGATCAACAGACAAACAATAGTACACAAAATACAACATATCAAACTAAAGACTGAGCAACACCAACCCCACCAAAAACTGGGGGTAATCTCAGGTGCTCAGGTAGGGTAAGCAGATCCAGCTCCACATGT